TGGAAGTAAAACCCTGGACTTTCTTGGCCCAGTATTGCTGACAATATCACAAAATTTAGAGGATGATGAAAGAATGTCCTGAATAGTAAGTTGTAGATAATGTCTAAAGAAATGAACTGTTATTTAGGGACTGGGTTTGCAGAGTCTGGTTGGACTTTTGGGAAAATAATTTTTCAATGACATCAACTGGACTGAAGCTCTGCTTCCTCTTGAAAATCCCATGACAAGAACAGCTGAGTTTTTAGGAAACTAACACAACAGAGTTTTAATTTATCTCACAAGTATGTTTCTGGAAGAAAAACAAAAGCTTTGCAGTTGGAACAACAGTCAGATAGAGATCGGTGCCAGTTTCAGTCACATTTTAAAGCTGTTAAAAAAAAAGGTGTTGCAGAAAATGCACAAACAAATCATCAAAGCAAGGCTGCAGGCAACTTTATAACTTCTTATTTTACATCTCCATTCTGTTTCTTAACAAGCACATGACTCATGAGTCATGAAGGAGCTGACAATGTGGACAGTATTTAACACACAAGTCCAGATGATGTCTTATCCCAAAAATCTCCCGAATCCCAGATCTTTACCATAACAACATAAAACGAGGCTAAGAGGAGCAGGCATATTGTGGATGTCTGTTTTACACAGCAATCAGTGCTTCTGGACAGAGACACAACTGTTGAAACCTACCCAGGACCACAAGGCATGATGTGAGGCTGCATTTCTGGCTCCTGAAAGGGTTTCAGTTCTTCATTTATCCTTATATTTTCTGCTCTTCTCCTGCCTATTCTTGCTGCATCTGTTAAAATGTGCACCCATCTAAGGCATCACATTAGTGGCAGCTGGTACTTTTCTTCTCTGGAGTAATCTCTAGACACTTGGCTTTACCAATGGGAAGTCTCTCAAAACTCAAAGGACCCTCAAAACCATGAAAACATTCCTTCACCTTTTGTTTTCATTATTCAAAAACACAAGCAGTACATACAATCTATTTCTACTTGAAGATAGGGTTACAGTTGGTGACTTGGTGTTTTTATTTTTGTTATATCCTTCATTTGTGAACTCTGATACTCCAAAATCGCAGAAGCAAAACTAGTGAGACAGGACAGCACCATGTTTAAGTTGATTACTTTAGAAAATAAAAATGCTAGTAAAAACAGACAAATAAAAAGCCTAAGTAGCATAGTGTTGAATGGGTGAACTACTGAAACGAAAAGTGCTTAATAAAAAGGATTCCTTGTTCTCCTCTTAGTTCCCAGCTCCCAAAAGCACCTCACAAAAAGACAAAGCAAGAACGAGGACAGTAGCTGCTATTGAGAGCCTATCCAATTTGTATACACAGATGTGGCAAATGATTTTAACTGAAAAGGAGCTTCTCGTGACCATTCTGTGGAAATCTTCTGCGCAATATCAACACTACAAATTGCTGCCATTAAGGAGGCCACAAAGTCTACAAACAGTATTTAAACATCAAATCTATAATTCTCATAAAATCACATCTGCAAATAACTTCTTCTAAGCAAAAATATATAAGAAATAACTGTCTCATAGCAACTCCACACATAAATGTCTGAAAATATGTGGAAAAATATTGTAGCTATCAAAGAAAAATTGTCACGAAACAAGTGCTAGATTTGTAGACATCATACTGTTTTTTCTGGTTTGCCAGCCAGCTATATATTCATGTGATACAGAGAAAATGACATCAATAGCTACCATAAAATTAAATTAGATTGCATATCCTTATTCTGTCCTCTTGTCTTATGTAGTCAGTCCTACCTGATGAAAAACAGTATTTCTTTCAGTGACACGAAGTAGAAAACTTCCTTTCTTTTCTTTCCAGAAAACTGGCTACATGAAGTACCATTCACTGACACAAGACCTCGATTTTTGTTCCACCTTCATATGAACAAATATTTAACCACAGTCAGGTAGAGGTACATGGGCAAAGGAGGTAAATATCTGTTTTGTCTGAGGAAAGAGGAATCAGATCAACTAAAATATACACTCATTTCACCTCCTGCTGGTGAATGTGAATTGATTGAGAGAGGATGATAAGATGGGAGTTGTATTTATTACCAGGAGAAAATGACTCCTTCCAGTTGCAATAAAAACAAAAATTATCCCTGGAGGTCTTAACTCTTCCCCTCTTTTTTCTTCCAATACAGCAGGGTCTGGCTTTGCCCTCATCCTATATACTCTTCATACTTTTATTGGCCACTAAGAGCAGTTGATAAAATAATAGTGAGTGATAGCTGACCTCTGGGCAGGTGAGAAGAATGGTTCTAGTGTTTGTTGTGGCTAAGCAATGGGAAAGGTTGAGGCTTGGAGAGGGAAGGATATTGGAGTCACATGTAGAAGTCCTGTACACTGAGAATGAGCAGGAAAGCATAGGAGGGCATAATGGAGAGAAAAGGCAGGCGGCTTAAGATTATAAGAGCAACGTTGCCACTTGTCTTCAGGTTCCTAATGCTTCCCTCAGCTACCCGGTGATTTCCCCCTGCCCTGTTGCCCTCTTGACCCATCCCAGTCTCATCTATTACAAGCAACTTCTTAACGCTGCAGTGCAGGAGGTAGATGTCAGTTGGGCACCAGTGTGTGTTTTGCTTGCCATGAGGCAGTTTATGCCAACAAGAAAACTAACACAGAGGAAAGTGCATGAAGCATGCCTCATCTTCCTGTGAGGCAGAAAATGGAGCCCTGGATAGGCCCAAGGAAGGTTTGCCTTTAAGCCACATGCACAAACCACAGCGGGAGTGTGAGCAACAGCTCAGGCAGCTGTTGTCAAATGCCTGGGCAGAGCTAACAAGCTCAGTGTTAATGACTTTTGAAAATAATCATGTGAATTCAGAGCTAAACACATGGATAACTTGCACTAGCCATGAGAGCTGTGTTATGGAGCGTCAGACACTGCAGGTATTTTCCCAGTCTCATAGAGGAGAGATGCAGTATTCCCATCTTTGATTATCCCCATCAAATTCAGCATGGAAAGACAAGAATATCTCTGGAGAATGGCATGGGTGTCAGGGAAATATGTTTTTAGATTTTTATTTGGCAACCAAACCTCTGAGACTGGACAGGGTAGCATAAATAGCTGCAGATTTCTGGTAAGAAAGTGGAAACAATACTTTCGCTCTCAGAAACAGGAGTGAAAAAGTTATATTTGGAATGGAGTTTCACAGCAAACACTCTGAGACCTCACATTTGAAGATTCAAAGATGGGTGATGGCTGGTCTGAACAAAGGGAAAATTGTGCTCAGAAATCTCAAAAGGATATAAAGCAGCTTCTCAGTTAATCATGTAATTTCTCCCATCCAATTGATGGCAATATTATGACAATAATTGCATGTCTGTTTGACAACTGTACACTGCCAGTCTTTTTAATGGACCTCTGTGTTTTCAAAATATCCCTAAATGATACAGTTTTTAATGAGCTACACAGCTGCAGGCTTGTTACTAATTTATGATAGAAATAGTGCTATCATGCTTTTCTTGCCTCTTGGTAATATTGTAACATGAGTCTGAGGTAAGCACTTCAAAATAATTATGGTTCCATAACATTTTAAATTGAGATCTGTTCCTTTTTGTTCCATCAAATCCTGGCTTTTGCTTATTTTCAGTTTTGCTGATAAACAAGCAGAACTTGCAGTTATGAATAAGGATTTTATTTTTCATTGCAGGTCTGATGTGTATACTTGCAGATAGCTGCAATGCATATAAATTGTGCAGAACGTCAATATTATTAAAAGAGTTGTAGAATCACCAAGGCTGGAAAAGATCTCCAAGATAATCCAGTCCAATCATCCACCTACTACCAAGAGCAGCACCTGGCTTGTTTGGTCTTGCTGATCTTCACCCCATTGGCCTCAGCCCAGCAATCCGGCCTGTCCAGATCTGGTACTCTGAAGATACCCAGGGGTTAATTGGTCTGACTTTTAAAGATATATGTAAGGAAGGCATTGAGAACATCAGTCTTTTCCTTATTCTTGGTGGTTACATTTCCTGCCTCCTGATTTTCCTTAGCCCTCCTCTTACTGTTTGTTTTTGGTTTTTTTTTTGTTTGTTTGTTTTTTTTTTTGTTTTTGTTTTTAATAAAAGTTTTGCTTCCTTTTACCACAGTGGCCAGGTTGGGTTCAAGCTGGGCTTTTGCTTTCCTAATTTTCTTCCTGCATATCCTAATAACTTCTTTGTACTGTCCCCAAATTGCCTGTCCCTTCTTCCACAGTAGATACTCTCTTTTTCTCCCAGAGCCTCAAAGTTCCCTGGTTTCTCCATGCTAGTCTCCTTCCCTGATGTCTCATGTTACAGCACAGGGAGATTGCCTGCTCCTGTGCCTCTAAGACTTCCATCTTGAGGAGTGACCAGCCTTCCTGGACCCCCTTACCCTTCAGGGCTGTCTCCCAACAGACCCTTCCTACCAGTTTCCTGAACAGTTCAAAGTCCACCCTCAGGAAGTCCAAGGTAGCAGTTTTCATAACTTCCCTCCTGACTCCACCAAGATTATAGAACTCTACCATTTCATGGTTGCTCTGCCCAAGACAGCTGCCAATCTCCACAACTCTCATCAGTCCTTCTCTGTTTGTGAACATTAAATTGTGAACTCCAATCCTGTCATAATTCCCCTGTACTCATCTTCAACAAGCCTGGTTTTATTCCCTTCCCTCTTCATGTCTAGTTTAAAACCCTCTCAATTAGCCCTGAAAACTCCTGGGCTTGAATCCATTTTCCCCCTTTGCAACCCATCAGACTCATCAGCAACCACGATGCCAGATGCTGAGTAAACCACCCCACTGTAAATAAATGAATGAATGAATAAATAAAAATTCCTGTGATTGCACCAGCCTCTCAGCCCTATTTTTATGAAATGGGTTTTCCTTGTTTTCTCAGTATTCTTCACTACCACCTGTACGCCTGCTCCACCTGCCCTGAAGTCCCTTTTGATGGCTCTCACGTTTCTCTCAGCAATATCGTCACAGCCTATCAGTAAGGGATAATAATCAGAGGGGTGAACCAGACCAGGAAGTTTTTATTAAAAACATTACTTACAAAGATACAGTTGTCTAATCCTTCCTTATCTTAACATTTGGGAAAATGAATGAATTTAATAAGAAAACAAACACCTTAAATGCTTCTTGTATTCAGATTGCTCATAACACTCAAGTGATTCTAGTTATCCTAATCACATTAAGACTTTTCTCAAAGGCAAGAAGGTATAAAATATTCTCAGTTGTCTGATTCATTTCTTTCACTGCTGGCAAACTATAGAAGCAATTTTAGAAACCCAGGCATAGGAAACGTTCATAAGCCTTCTCCAGCCATTTTGAGAAGGATTGATGACATACTCTGCCAGAGCATAAACCCCAGGCCTCAGGACTACTGCCTCTTATCAATTTTCAAGACTGAAAAACAAAAGCAAAATTCCTTTGAGACATAAATTTTTGTAGCAGGCTTCTAAAAACTAACCATTAATGTGTAGCACTTACAAGTGCACTGCTGCTGAATAAAAATTTGGCTTTTGAAGCACAACAGTAACACTTTTATTCCACATTAACATATATAAAACTCCAAAAGTCCTGGCACAGTTTTAATGAAACTGTAGCTTAACACAGACAAAAATTAACTGAATTCTGCTAGCCTTCCAGCTATTAAACACTTCTTCACTGGACATAGGAGACTGAATACCCTATAATCAAATTTCACAAAGTTTCAGCTGTGATACAGGTTAGCCTATTAAGCATTCTTATGCTGAAGGATGTTGGTATCTTCCAACAGTACTATCCTTGATCCATTGGCAATTACAGATTTCTATAAAAATAAATGGCACACTGGGTAATTGGGAGAAGTAATTAAGCCTTCTTTATAAGAGAGATGTACTGGAACAAGAGACTTCATTGCTCAGTCTCTGGATCACATAAGAAGGCCTGAACAAATGCTGACTAACCCAGAGAAAAATAGAGGTTCCTCCTCTATTTTCTATCAGCTATGAGCTGATCTGAATTAAACATTCATCTCCCCCACTCACAGCTCTGGGCCATCTCAGTGCTCGCTGGGGTTATTGTGCTGTGGTCTACCAGAAAAATATTTACGTAAATACTCATTAGCTCAAATTCATTCCACTGAACTATGTTAAGGAAGAACCAAACCAACTAACTGGAGAGTGAGCTAATGAAAAGCAGAGGGTAATAATACATTAATCCAGGTTAGCAGCAGCCAAGTAAATTTCCCTTCATGCAAATACTGACACAGAAACACAGATTCAGTGGAGGCTGGAAGGAGTATATGCAGACATCCTGGGATACTGGGCAAATGGAAAAAGATATCTGAACTGTCTATCAGGAGAGCTTTTGAAGAGAATCAAAACTCTGTGTGTTCCCTATGAAAACAGACATTAAGTTTACCTGACTACTGCCCTCAGCTTCTCCACTGGTGACACCCCCTCAATCCTTGTCACCCCACAGTTTGCTTGTTGACCTACAGAAAAATGCACTTCAGTTAGAGGAGCTCTTATTTTATTCCCTCGTATTACATTTTGGCTTCTAGAAGCGCATAAATCACATTCTTCATGTGACTTCACCTTCTTAAAAATACCTATACTTACACATTTGGTAGGACATTTGCCTAACGGTTCCCAAAAAAAGTGTTGCTAAAAGAATTTTACAAGCTTCTATGGAAAACACAAAGATTAAACATCTTGTCCTACTCTGAATTATTGCTTTCTCTAAAGTAAACATAGCAAATGTTAACAGCCTGCAATGGCTTGCTACAGGAAGTGAAAAAAATATTGACTAAGTAATGCAGAGGGGAATACATATACAGAAATGTTACTAAAACATGCAGCCTAATTTTTCTGAGGATATTTAACACTGTCAGCTTTTAAATCAATAGAAAGGGGAAGAAAGCTAAGTAGCTCAAAAAAGGCACTTAATTGGTATGGACTTCGAAGTGCACCTCATGGATGGAGAAATACATTTTCTGCCTTTGGCAGGAACTGCTAAAGAGAAACAGATATCAAAAAGTCTAATAAAAATATGAAAATACTACGATTTGATGAAACAAATGACTATCATAGATCAGCAGTCCATTTTGCAAAACCTGGGAATTAAAAAAATCTCTTAGCATGTATAACCTTTTAAAAAATATCTGGGGATTCTGAAATGTGCTTATCACTGCAGATCACTGCTAAAGGGCCGAGTTTGTAAACATTTCCTATTTCACTGCTGATAGTTATGCTGAGAATTGTTTCAAAGTTAAGAAAACAAGAATTAGTACAACAGAAGTGGAATTTTATTTTAAATTATAGATATTCAGAAAATATTTTTCACAGTTTCATTTGCTTCTTACTTTCTTCAACTGATTTTAAATTCTGAGTAGATGAAGGCTGAGTGAAGTGAGTAAAGGCTACAGAAAAGTGGTGTGGATTCATCCTTGCCAATACTTATAGCATGTATTTTGACACAGTAATGTTGCTTCCTAATCATTTTAGCTGATAATTTTTATGTTGGTGGCAGCCTTTTATGAATGACCTTGCAATATCATCTATTACAGTACAGACATTCAGACGAATATAAGCTGAAATTCCTTTTAGTTAAACTAATAGTGCAATTTTAGCAGTTGCGTCTTTTGTTAGCCTCTGGGCTTGTCTGTTCCAGTGTAAAGATCTGTATTCCTATTTTAATCTGAACTCCTCTACACCAAATCAGTGCTTATTGCATCTAAGAATATGATGACTTCTTATCCCAAATGTGAATATCTCAGTAGAAGCTGGAGTGATTTACCAAAGGCCAGATCTCTTTCTTTGACTGAGGTCAATGTCAGAAATCAGACTGACCTCAGTTAGAAGGTCAGTAGAACAATGTCCTGGTTTTGAGATCCAAAGGGACTGTTCTAACACAGCCCAGCCAAAATTACTTCACCAATTGCTCCCATGTAAAGTGCCCCGGCATATGGAGATAGATAACATTCTTTAAAATAATGGCATACAGTGGCCAAGTAAAAGATAATTAGCGTCATGTTTTAAAAAGCACACCTCTTTGATGTTTTTGTCCATTATTAGAAAATTAACAAAGGCGTTCAGCACTGTTGAATATATTGCTCTTACACACTGCTTTAACTTATTGATTCAGCTGTGAGCAGGTTTGCATAGGCAGCCCCATGTAACTCAGTAACAAAAAGCAAAACTGCGACTAGTTATAAAATAAGTCCATTAGTAAAAGGCTTAAGACACTTTAAATAGGCATAAAAGGAACAGTAATCACGAATCCTTTGTTAACTAGAGATCATTTGCAGAGAGACAGATCATTGGCTCACATACAGGTGTGGATGCCTGTGGCTATTTTCTCTACCCTACACGTGAAATCATTGGGACTTCAAAATTGTTTTGAAAAAAGAAATCCAAATTGTAGCTTCAAGATTCAGTAAGTTATACAGCAAATTGAATGGTCTAGGTTAATAAACCTTCTTATGATTATTTACTAAACATAAAATTCCAAAACAACTTTAGTCTGGAGACAGTACTAAGCATTTCATACTTGGTCTTAATATTATAGTAAGTATTGGAAGAAAACCGAGCATGATTTTCCTCCATTTCAGTAAGCTCTAAATTCAACAGCAGTCATGTTATATGCAAACACAGTTGAAATACAGGCCAGAGGCAGATCTCTTGCAAAACCTAGGTGACCATAAGTGAAGAAATATATAAAAACAAAACAACAACAACAAACAAAAAACCCCAACACCTATACCAAATTAACCATGAAAGAGAAAAGAAAAACGTTACTAAATACAAGTTGTACTGAATGGCAATCAGAACTGCTTTTGCTGCATGGTTTTTAATAAACACTCATTTTGTAAACAAAACAAATGCAACTAGCACTGACATCGACTTCAGTGCTCATCTTGAGCAGTTCTCATTCTTTGAGTTAATTTTGGAGGCTCCAAAGACTTAAAATGATCAACAAATAATATCACTCACTTCCACATATTTTTGAAAAGAAGGAGGTCAGAAAAGTCCTGAGGCTGTAACAATTTGCCATTTCTCCTCACCCCTTGAGTGACACTGTGCTAAAACATGTATAAACTGGTCCTCTGCTAGAACCAGATACACTCAGCTGACTATAGCCAGGAAACACAAAACTACAAATTGCCCAAAGAGGCTGTGGATACCTCATTCCCAGGTTGGCAGTCTGGTCTATCTCCAGACCAAACGGATCTGGACATTGGTGGCCCTGCCTATCGCAAGGGGGGGTGGAGCTTTGTGATCCTTGGAGCCCCTTCCAGCCCAAGGCATTCTATGATCCTATATTCTGCTAAGAATTCTACTTCTATTGCTTCTGAGGACTCTACAGTTCATCTGTCTTTCCCTTGAAATGGCTGCTCAGTAACCCTAAAGCACCTGAAATTACCACCATGATCACTCAATTTTTCACCTCTCCTGCTGAATTACAGCAAAATTAACACAAAGATTTCATGCAGAGATTAATTTACTCATATGAATATTTCACAGCAGTCTTAAGTATCCTTAACTGTCTCTCCTTTACAAATTTGTGTATCTCTAATTTCTTTATTCCCACACCATTTTGGATTTAATCTGTATTTTTTTCAGGAATCTTTCTCTCTTGGATTGAGTGAGAGAAGAAAATAGTAATATATATCAGTGCAGGTTAACTGCATTTCAATAATGTTGGGTCCAATTTTGACAAGATTTTACCCCTAAAAATTCTGCAATACTTTCTTTTGAGAGAAAAAAGAAAAACATCAATTTTGTCTGTTTAGGTCTTCTATCCCAAGAATCCTTAGACTTTATAAGAATGCAAGAAAAATATTTTGTTTCATAAGGCATAGAACTGAGAGGGGAAGTCATATTTATAATAGTCATTAAAATATATCACAAATTGTAATTTGATATTCTCATCTTTTCAATATTTGTCATCATCTTTTTACTACACTTTCCAGAGAATCACCAACTGTATCCATGACAGAAAATAGCAAGAAGCTTCAAGAAAAACCTTACAAGAAATCACTTCCAGGGGAATGGGCACCAACCCAAAACCCAGCTGTCTTTACAGATAAAGGAAGCTGAAAGCAGTCATTACTTATACCAATGTTATTCTTTAAGTAATTATACAAAAAGACACTTAGAATTGAATCAGTTACCAACACGACTTCAGCAACAAAAATGTACATATCAGTGCAGTTTGTCTACAACAAATTTTACAACCATAAAAATGATCACAGAAACGTATTTCTACAGATATGGGGGTATACTTAGGAATAACTCCATATTCTGTGATGAAAACTTATGTACATGTGTATCTTACAACATATTACCTCGACTACTACTTACTCACATACTGTGATAAATTATTTGCTCTCTTACTGAATGAATGTGACAAAGAAAAACAATAATTGTAAAATAATGTTCATATTTCTACAATGAAACAACCTTTCAGGACTATAAACAAACAAAAGGAATCAGTAGTCTTCCAACACTGTTAAAGAATAGTAGATTCATACAGACTCAATAGATAGATTCAAACAACAGATAGACTCAATTCATGAGCAAGAGCAATCACACCGTATTTATTTGTAAACTGTAAAACTGAGTGGGCTCTATATAACCATTGAGTTACTAAAACAAACAGCAAAGTAATCACGGAATATTTAATATGAAAAAAAAAAAAAGACACAAACTTTTGCTTTTAGTATCCATGTCAGGCCATCTTGGATGATAAATTTGTTTTCTAGCATGGAAGTTTAAGCGGGACAAAATAGTGATAGAGCACATGAACGACAATATTTCTAATTCTAGGGGAGGTGTTAGAAAATACAGCAAAAAGAATGTTCACATATATTGGATTCCAGATTTTTTCATATTTCTTCTCTATTGCTACCACCTACATTGAAGATTCTTGCTTTTTCACACTGTGAAGTAATAAGTAAATAAATAAATTTTTAAAAAGCTAATTTCTTAAAGATGCCAAAACAGTTCTGTACTGAAAGATGAAAGGTTGCCTGTTGTACAATCAATGAATATACAGATGGTATAGTATATCCAGGAGTTTGTCTGATGCAATTATGATACCAGAGTAAGGAAAAGAAAACACTCACCCAATCCTGGACTTGCGTAATAAACTCCAGTGGAGCGGCTCCCCAAAAGAGACCCTTCCCCCCTGGTAGTCAGTTCTTAAATGGGTCTAGGAGGGGTGCAGCCAGGCTCCAGCCCTTCCTGCAGCACAGCTGAATTGCCTTCACCTGTGCTCCCATGGCTGACTCAGTGCTTGCCTCAGGTGATCAATCAGAGCTTCAGGCCATGATTCAGCAGCCCCATACACCTGTAACACCTAATTTTTGGCTTGCCTCTTTCTTGCATCCTTCTATCTTGAGGGCTCAGATCAGTTAGCTTTCAGAGGACTGAGATAAGGAAGTCAATAGATAGAAAGTGCAAGCCAATTCCTTGCTAAAAAGCCAATTCTAGCGCCTAGATTTTTTGTTTTTCCCTTCAGTGATTTTCTTTAATGTTTTCCCAGAGTTCATGGTGCTATGGGAAGGCTTGGTACGTTCTATTATCTACTTTTAGGAAATACTATAAATGTTTTGAAAGCTTTATCTACAGCTGGATAGGAAACATTTCTGTTTGCTCTTTCTGGGAAAAAAAAAAAAATAGCAAACAGAAACAAAAAATAATCTTTGATGATGAAATCAAAACCTGATTTTCAGTAAAATGTAAAATCTTACATAAACCTGATATATAGTTTATATATTAAAAAACAAGCAAACAAACAAAAAAATATTTTAACACTTAAAAAAAATGTCATCAATTAATCAGGATTATCATTTGGGATAAACCGCCAAAGATTATTTCTTAGGATTACAAATTTGAGTTCAGCCTTAGTCTCCTTTTGGACAGATACATTTCTGTCAGTGCCTTTGTCACCTCTACATGAAATTCTGAAGAGAAGAAATACATAAATCACTCCAAAAGTAATGCCCCCTACTTATTTTTGTGAAAGTTACAACAGATATAAAGAGCACAAGAACACTAACTGATGGAGCAAATTCTCAGCTACTAAATACTATTTTTCAGTATCTTCACAGCCGTTAGACAATTTGCACAAATAAGCTGATCAAAGCACTCTTCATTTTGTGGTGTGACAGCTGAGCATGTTGGTCTGGAACATGGCTTGTCTTTCAAGTCATTGTCACCACTGCTGAAACACACTGCCTGCTGCCTCACAGTGCTCACGTTCACTGTTTGGTATCCATAAGCATTCAGCAAGCATTGATGAATGTCAGTGGGGGCCATTTTTTCTGCATGGAGGAATTCAATGCCACAACTTTGCTTCATACACACTTCCATGTCAGATGCCATTCTATCAGACTGCAGCAACATGTAACAGGATATTAATGGGAAGGTTCAACCTCTTCTGCCATAATGGCAACATCCACTGATGGGCTGATATAATAAAGTAGGAAGCATTACTTTCAGAGCAGCCCTCATCTAATTGCATGGAATAAAAGTCACATCACTTCTAGAGCTCTGTTTCTGCATTACAGTCTAATCTATGGTCTGGGGATCCAACCATGAATTCCCAGGAGTAACAAAACAAAAGATGCTACACACAAATTTACGTTTCTGATGTTCTTAGAAAAAAAAAAAATCCTTGGAAAATATCCAGTAGTCTACAAATCACAAGAGCTAGAAAGTCACTGACTTCTCTGTAATTGTCTTTTCTTTAAAACAAATATACCTGACAAAGACTTTATCAGCTATTACAACTGAAAATAAAGAAATGGAGAAAATGCACAGTAAGCCAGATTTATTTTTTTTTTTTGTAAACAAACTTGCACCTTTGGATGTACACATAATGTCCTTCTTCCCATTGTATTGAGGCTTGAGCACATGTGTAATAAGCACATCTGCTCTCTTATCTTTCTCAGCAGTCTCCTATTCACCATTGTGTGGCAGAATAAATCCCTGTCTCAATTTTCACTCTTAACACCACGTTCTCTGAAAAGCAGAGTACAGCCAGTCCCTCCTACAGAAGCAGTAATAAATCTACCCTTCCCCCTCTATCTGCAGCCAATCCTTTATGAAAGAAATACTATTAATATTAAAACTGCAAGGAATTATATCCAAAGCCAAATTAGTTATATAAACATCAGTAGTGGAAAATACAGGAAATTTCATGTTACAAACATCCATAAACAAATATTTCTCTCATTTATGTGTAGACAGGTCTTTATTTTTCATTAGCATGGGATGGTGTTTATGATGGAAGACATGACTGACTAGAGATCAAAATCTGACAGAGGAAGAACATCCCAATAAACTGATTTATCAGACCTAGGAAGAAAGCTTTGAGCTTGGAGTACTGTGTCCAGTTCTTGGCTTTTCAGTTCAAGGTAGATAGGAAACTGCTGGAAATATTTCAGTAGAGGATCACAGAAATGATGAGGGGCCTGGAGCATCTCCTTTATGAGGAAAGGCTGAGAGACCTGGGACTGTTCAGCCTGGGGAAGAGAAGACTAAGAGGGGATTTTATCAGTACTTATAAGGCCAGACTTTTTTCAGCTTTGCCCAGCAACAAGACAAGGGATAATGGGCACAAACTGCAACACAGGAAGTTCCATAAAAATATGAGAAAGAACTTCAGATTACTGTGAGGGTGACAGAGCACTGAAACAGGCTACCGAGAGAGGTTGTGGAGTCTCCTCTGGAGATACTCCAAACCTGCTTGGACACTTTCCTGTGTAACCTACTGTAAGGAGCCAGTTTTAGCAGAGGGTTGGACTTGATGATCTCCAGAGATCTCTTCCAGCCCTTATAATGCTGTGAAAGCATTTACATTCTCTGTGATCTGTGCCATATTACTGTGAAAAACAAATTAATCTTCCATTCCATGTCTAAAAATAAGTAAGAATTCCATGTGCCAAGAGACTTCCCGTTTATAGCTGTGACAACAGATTTCAAGAGGGAAAGGAAAATGAGACAATTACCCCATATTATTTCAGACTGTTAAGGTGCTAATACATAGAACTTATTTGAATGAGTATACGTGAAACCCAGAAAGAGTTATTAGATTTTGCCTCTGGCCGTACTCCCTTTTATAACCACTAAAAAAGGCCTGCCAAATCGTAATGGGGAAGGAGGCAGCAGATGAGCTATGCTCTGCCTGTACACTGATGGATTCTATCTTCTGAAGCATCTAAGACTTGTAGTTATCTAAAACAGGCCATTCACACATATCTGGTTCAATATGGCAACTTCCAAGCACTAAAATAAATAGAAAAAAATGTATTTATAGATACAAGTAGTTTTAAGGGGAAAAGAACAGTTTAGTGGCCTACACAGAGCTGAGATTATTCATGGGCATACTGGCTATATTTGAATGAAGAACAAGGAAGGACTAGGACAAGAAAGAAGAGAAAAAATGAACTGACTGTAAAACGACACAGAGAGTTGTTTATGAGTATAAATAGTCTTCAGAACAGACAACCCTCTCAATGTTTCATAAGAATGAATTCACATTTTTCCGAAGTACAATGAGAGTTACTGCAGAGTTCACCCTTTTTATGTTATGCGTAGAAACATCCAAAACATGCTCCAGGCATAAAGGTATTCTAATGAAAATAACAGCATCACAATACTTTCCTTCATTTTCACTTCATATTTACTGTATTGTTTAAATGCTGGAAAACATAAAAACTGGAACAGGCACAATTAATTTAATAAAATGAATAACAGTGTCAGCTCTCAGAGTTGTTAAAAAAAACTCCATCATGGGACTGGCAAACTGAATTCACATAGATCTAAGGGGATGCAATGACACATTTTAATTTGCTTCAAAGAAAGCTTTATAACTTGTCTCCTAAGGTTTCTATATAAAATGAATTAATGACTCCTCTTTAATGAAAAGTATTGATTCCTTGAAGGTACAGGTACAGAAATGAACAGGAATTTTGTTATGGCTGCACAGTAGAACATATTTCATCCATTTTCACCACTCTGTGCTATATGGAATGTCCTTGAAAATGTATAGCAACTACTTCAGATGACACAGATACATTTGTTGTTTTTTGATCACTGGTCTTATGAAGTTCACTGATCTCATGTAGAATCATTTCCCTAGTAAGAAGAGAGAACGAAAAGACCTAAAGGTTTGTACTACAAGGAAAACTAGGCCTCCCCCAGTTGGGCCTGGTTTTGAATCTGGATGTGCACATCAACTAGCAAGGAAAATACATAATTTTTTAATAATCCATGACACATTTGTGTATCTCCAATGTGCTGCCATACATCATTTCTACCTCTAAGTTGACCACACTGGAAGATATGAAGCCCAGATTTTCCTTGGACAAATTACTGTGTCATCTCAATCATCCACTGCTCATTTTATATGCTTGCTCTGGAGAGAATGATCTCATAAGACTTGCTTGCATTATGTTTTGTTTTCTTATTTGTTTGTCTTGAAGGTATTTGGATAAATAGGCTAGCAAAAATGTATTTTCCTCTTTGGAATTACTGAAAATTCAGTTCTCTAATTTACAGTACTTTACTTCCATCTGATGAAATGCTACAAATCCACCTGCTACTTTTTCTCCTACCTGCATTCTCCTCATTGGTCCTCTTAACAGACCTATCTCTTCATCTCATTCTTGAAAGTTTCATTTAATAATATTTAATCACCGATGTGGCTCAAGGAGCAAAACTGAGCCAAACTCAGGAAAACTGCAGGAAAATTGTGCACTAAAAATTGCAAAGAAAGAACTCCCAATTGCACCAAACAGGCGTGAAAAATATAAGGTGACACACAAGTTTCTATTGTAGTTAGTTTTAAAGAAAAAGTTCAGAAATCACAGACACTATAAGTAGTTTAACAGAAAAAAATCAGAAGGTTCCTGCAAAATGAGCCAAGCCTTGACAGCTCAGCATCAAATGTCAGAGCCAATATTTTACTATTCAATTTAAAAAACAAAAGTTCTGTAAAACCGTCATATACTGACTTCCATTGTTTAATTTACAGAACAATAAAGTTCTGTGTCCTAAATGAAAGCACAGTGGAATCAATAGGTCTTGGCCCAGTTATTAATAGAAAGTAAAAATAGACCCAGTCTCAAATCATCCCCAGAAGGCAAATATTTA